GTGAAAAGAAAGAAGCTGAAGTTGAGCATCAATCTCAGTTGGACAATGGAGAGAAACTGCGAGAGTCGTTGTTAGAGAAGATTCACATTCTACAAACCACAATTAACACTCTCTCGTATGATAAGAAAGCTCTTGAGGACGAAGTGGTTGAGATGAGAAGAAAAGTTCAGGAGTTGAGCATAGGTTCGGGGAAAATTGACAAGATGCTTAGCTATGGAAAAAGTTTTGGAGACAAAGGAGGTCTAGGATTCGAGTCTACAAAGACTACAAGTTCCTCTTCTGACACCAGATTTGTCAAAGCCTCTGATATTCCTAGTTTGAAAGTAGATGACGATAAATGTTTAGGTCTTACTCCCAAAACATCTACAATCTTTGCACATGTGTCAAATCCTGTCAAGACTTCAATTAATCCTAATAAACCCAAACAATCTAGGAAGTTCATTCCTATATGTCATTTTTGTGGGATCCCTGGTCACATCCGGCCTAAGTGCAATAAGCTTAGAAAGAAAAATTCTTCTCAAGAAAAAGTTTCAAGGAACTTTGAAAAAGAAAATCTTAAGGAACAATTTGTGACTTATTTGAAAGAGATTAATCGGATTGCAAGATTTATATCTGTTCCAAGTACGGTAGTTCCAAAAGTAAGACAAGTTTGGAGAAGAAAAGAGAATCAAAGTGGTGTACTTGTCAATTTATCTCCACTTTCAAGTTGTTTATATTGACTAAGCTCTCTCTTTGCAAATATTTTCATTAATGCATGCTTGCATGTTCATATAGCATAAATACTGCATTTTTTGTCCTTCTTCTTGTTAAAAAATAAAAATAAAAATAAAAATAAAAATTTTAAAAATGTATGAGGAAAAATGGAAAAGTATGATTTCATATGAATTCTAGCTTTGTTCACTTGATAACATGACCCTAGCATGATATGTTTGACTCTGTTGTGGACAATAGCCCCTTGTTGATAATATATCAATGTTAATGAGTTGAACATGTTTAACTTGAGTAAAACCCGCACCCATGTGAGCTTTTGTGCCTAAATATAGTGTGTGCATTTTTCATACACTCTTATTTTTTTCATGTGTGTGATCTTATGTGTTTTGCTTCTCTAGAACTTGCTTTGAGACCTCTCAAAACTTTGTATCATATATTATTCTATTTTGGAGACGATAGTAGGCATTAGGACTTACCATCATTGCCATATATGCCAGTGCCTTATATGTTTTCCCCCAGTTAACCCTTTTGAGCCTATATGTAAGCCTTTTGTTCTTAAACCTACATTTTCCTTACCTAGCCTCTTACATTAAAAATTCCCTACCCTACTAAGAAGCTAGTAGAGTACGTTTTTCAAAGGAGAGAGTTCAATGTTATTTAAAAGTTGAAGATGCAAAATTTTGTGAAGAAAGCCAACAACACATGAAAAGCAAAAGAAGAAAAGAGGAAAAGAAGTCACTATGAATCATAAGTGAGCTGCCAGCATTATAAGAAATCAAGTGTGTTGGTCTAAATGAAGAGCAAGAATCATCTGAAATGAATTGTGCGGTTGTATGTCGTTCATGTCTTAAATCCAACCGCTCAATTGAGTGCTAAGTTACCTGGTTCGTTGTTGTATTTCTCTCTTGGTTTCATTTCCAACTACTCTATTAGTTTCTTAGACTTTGTGTTTCCTATATCCTTCATTTCTTTAACCGAGTACCTGAAGCCCCATTACAACCCTTCACAAAGACCTACTTGATCCAAAGAAGGTAATTTTTGATGTGTGGAGATGAGATCAATCTGCAAGCCTATGGTAGAACATTCATGTAATGATCTTTTGAGCGTATACACTTACCCCCAAACACTTTGAATGAAAATTCGAGCGTATATCTTGTGAGCTTAAGGGTTAAAGTTAAGTTGGTCCTGTAAGACTTAATTACATTTGTGTAGTATCAACTTTCGGCTATACTTGCAACTACACTCATACATGTTATATTTTAGGGACAATGTTAGCTTGTGAATGAGGATTCATAACTACATGTGTTTTTGCACTCTTTCATTCTTGTTGGAACAATTATATGCTTCTCATAAAAAAAAAAAATATATATATATATATATATATATACATATATATATATATATATCATATCATTTGCGTGCTGCATTTCATTATATTTTTTAAAGCATTTGTTTAGGGGGAGCTTAACAATATGAAAGATGTTCGTTTCTTTCCATGTTTATTCTTTTGATCATTACTTTGATATTCTTTTCCTCCCAATTTCGTCCCCACTTTTATTTTATCACATTTTGTTTTGTTCCACTTATCTTCCGCTGACTGCACCTGATGGTTAACTCTAAGGCCTTTGACCTTTCTAGACAAAAAGGGGGAGAAGTAGGAAGCCTATATTTAGGGGGAGAAGTAGAATTTCGAGAGCCTGGTTGTTTTTGGTTGCTTGCTATTATAGATAAATGCTTTCATTTACAGCAGCATATATCTTTTGTACGTCACAGGTTTTCTTGTTTGAGTGTGTGCAGGTTACAGACTTCAATGTTATGCATGGTCGTTAAGTTTATTAGTTGTCTGTAATACTGTGATAGAGGATTTTGTCTAGGAAATGCCAAAGGGGGAGATTGTTAGGGTAAAATTGGCAATCCCTGACAAAATGCCTGAGTCTGTAATAGCTTAGACTTGTTACATATTTACAATTGTAATAGTTTTAGTCTAGGGAGGTTTCTCACACTTTCAATGCGAAGATGTTACTAAAACACGATACTCATCCAGGTACGTTTGCATGCATGCATCCAACTACATTCATCTGATATCTCATGTTATCGTATTTGGGTTAGGACTCTTACCCTTTGTGGGTTTTATCTCTTTAGAATGACTTACCCTTTCTACATTAATTATTAAAACATGATTTCAAAATAATCTGATTGCATGGGAGTTATCTAAATGGTTTGCCATCCTTATCAATTTAATTGGTGAGGTGCCGTGAGGTATACAGGAGGTTAGGGTTTTGTTTTGTTTAAAAGGCAGCCACACATGCATATATTTGGGCGTTCTTTGACAAACAAAAGATAGGCAGCAGCTTGGCGTTTTTGGGAATAAGAAAAAAAAATATTTTTGATATTGCTGCTGTCTTGTGGTTTCAATAGCATGTGTTTTTAAAGAGAAAATATTATTTTCATGCTGATTTTCATTTGGTTTTTTAAATTGAATATCAATTATGGAAATGAGCTTTGTGATTTTCGTAATTGATTGTTTTCAAACAAACACTTCATCATATAAACATTCTGCATGATCGAGTTAGCATCCTGCAAAGTTCGAGGGAAAGGTGATTGACGGCTGCGTTAGTGTCGTGCCACTTCAACTCGAAGACTGAAGAAAGATCGAGTAGCAAAGCGCGGAGACAAAGCTGCCAACTGGTATGAGTGTCTAGTTGATGAGTTTTGTAAGTCTTTATGTATTCTTTCTTTCTTAGTGCTTCCTGGCTTGGTAGCCCGAGGATTTTCCCAGTGGTGGGTTTTGCCTCGTAAAATCCTACATCCCGTGTGCACATTTTATTTATCTTTATAATTGCATATGTGTAGGATAGTTTATATGTGATGTGAATGTGGATTAATTTGAGAACTGAAAATTAAATTGAAATTTGAATTGGACTTTTAAATTGGAACCTATTCAACCCCCTTTAGGTTAAACTAGTACCATCTTAGAACTTTCACTTAGTACATAGGACCATTAGCTGTTATCCGTTATTCATTGAAGGCCATGTGACCCTAATTCTTTCGGGCATAGACCACCAGAAGGTAAACTAAACAATATACATTATTTATTGTAAGAAATAAACAAGTAAATGACCTTTAATTAATTATCAAATTAAATAGTTAATGTAGCTTAAGATAAATTGAATTGAGAGCATTTGTAAAATACTATTCTGCCTTTGGCATGGTCTACAAATTACAGTGGCTAGTGAAGAACGTCTCAAATTGAGTTTGGGAGTTTTCGGACAATACCTCTTATAACCAGATGGGTGAGAGAAAATGGATTTAGAGCCCCTCTAAGTACCGGTAAGAGAAGTATATAACTAGATTAATAACTAATTGGTATTAGGACAATAACTAACGACATAAGCTCAATAGCGGACTTCTCTTAAAGATTGCTTCATCAATTAGCGGCAAAAAAAGCAACAATTAGAGAATGACTTAACCTGCATCTAAGATGTTATTATGGTGATATTTTAAGTCAATCGAGTATTGTCACGTGAGGAAATTAAACACATAATAATACATGATTAGCTATATGTATTTAGAACCAATATAACATCGTGAGGAGATAAACCTTAGTAAAAGGAACTTGACCAGTTGAAGGCCACACTCACCAGAGCTGGGAGTCAAACCATCTACAGGGTGAGTTGTGCCCGCCTGGGCCTAGATAGTATCCAAATCCAAAAAGATCATGAGTTAAACCATCTAGCTGGTCAAGTTGCCATACCCAAACCCTTACGCAACCTTGAAGGACAATTAAGTCACAGAAAAACAAAATTCTCAGAACCAGACAAGAAGTCATGGCATGTTCACAGTTACCATCCAAAAGATGGAGGAGGATTCTCTCTCCTTCCCTCTCCTCCTATTTGAACGGTTACTGTTTAATCACGTCAACATCTTATATTAATTTTTTTTATAGAGATAATACGACGAAAAAACAATATGTAAGAAGAGGGGATGAGAATAAAACAAGGGGAGGAAAACTAATGAAAATGACTTGAAAACTTTGAGTTTTAATGATAAGAACAAAATAAAGGGTAAAATGAATAGTACCAAGATTGATTTTTTTAGTATAAAAATATGATTTTTCGTTAAAGTTCCCCTCTCCAAAAGAGAGGGCATTTGCAAGACAAGAAAAGTATAATCTAATGCAAATTGCGTTATCAGACAAAAGTAATTGCAAATTTAATTTAATTAACTAAAGTTGGAAATTATTGTTTTTTGGTTGGGGAGTTTAAAGTATTGATGTATTAAAAAGGGGTGGGATTGGTGATGGGATGATAGGGAGGCCTGAGGCGCTTCTTCTCTATCTATGGCGGTCACTCTCTTACCCTTCTCTCTCACCGGCTACCTAACTTCTTCCTTTCACACTCCCAGTCTTTGACCGAGAGCCACCGAGTCGAACCGGGTTGACTCTCTCTCTCTTTCTCTCAATCGGTATTGGTTTTGTAGACGGAAAGTTTAGAGCTTGAAGGTGGAAGATAAGGCTGCGTTAGGTGAGTTTGTGAATGTTTGGTTGGTTGGTTTATTGAGAAAGGTGATTTATTTTTGTTGGTTTTAATAGAAAGTGTTTGATTGGTTTAGAGGAAGATGATGAATGGGAATAAGAATGGAGGCGGAGGGGGCGGAGGGGGCGGAGGAGGCGGCGGAGGAGGAGTGGGGTTTGGCGGGATAGTGAGCGACTACATTCGGAGGCACCACAGGCACGACCTTAACGACCATCAGTGTACATCTACTCTCGTCCGGTACATCAAAGCCCCTGTCCATCTTGTACATCTCTCTCTCTCTCTCTCTCTCTGTATCTATCTATGAAGCTGTAGGATTTTTATTTATTTGATTAGTTTTGATCTGGGGTTTGTCTATTGGAGATGTAAATATCATGCATGTCACAAATAGGTAGGTGGGTGTTCATGTTACAATTGGATTTGGAGTTTAATGTAGGAGTTGTGGCATCAGTTTGTGAAGATGGGGTTACTGGGATTCGACATTTCGGATTGTTTTTGCTCTATAAAGTTTTGTTCTTTTTCCTTAGGACATGTGTGATCGCATTTCTGGAGAGCATCTGAGCTTTAATCTGTGGAGTTTGTATTGGATTCCTTAATGTTTTTGCCTACATTGATGTGGGGTGTTGATCGATTAGATCATTGTAGCTCTTTAATCACGGTGTCTCTGCGTGTGTAGTTGTTAAGAAAATTGGGGAGAAATAGAAAAAAGAAAGGAAATTTTGATTGCTTTTCTGGTATTTTTTTATGTTCGATTGTTTCCAATGGAAGATTAAGGTGTGTTTGAGAGAGATTCTCAATGAGTATGAGCAGTTATCCCTTTTTGGTAATGTGAATTGTTTTGTTTCTCTTCAGGTTTGGTCGTTGGTAAGACGATTTGATCAGCCACAAAAGTATAAACCATTTGTCAGCAGGTGTGTGGTGCAGGGGAACCTTGAGATTGGAAGTCTCAGAGAAGTTGATGTTAAGTCTGGGCTTCCTGCCACTACAAGTACTGAAAGATTGGAACTTCTTGACGACGAGGAGCATATTCTTAGCATTAAAATAATTGGTGGGGATCACAGACTTAGGGTATGGAGACCCTTTCCTTTTATAATTCAGCACATTCTTCTCTTTTCCTTTTATTTGGTTGCACATTTCTCAGCATGCAAGCTAAAAGGTTAACTAGTTCGCAAGATTTTAATATGAAGTTCTGTGTTCATCGGAGTCTCTGCATATTAGTCTGAAGTTTTTGGGCCCGTTGAACGTGATCACATCAAAATTTAATGGAAACAGTAAAAGATTTCCTGAAACAGGTTTCAGCTTTGGCTGCTCAAATTTAAATTTACGGTGTTGATTCTTTTTTCCTTTTAATCAGTGACCACTGGCATCGGTCTCTAAGTTTAATATTGGTACTTGATGGCATATATATGGTTGAATTTGGATGATGTTATCGACTTGAATCTGACTGATAATGTAAGATACATATGAACGATTACACATATATCAATCCTTAGGGTTAACCATAAAACTCTCACGCTATCTGCACTAAGCAGCAACGAGGCCTCTGTTGACTACAGTAGGCCTGTATACAAGCCTCTGAGCCGAAAACTGATCCTCATATAATTTCTGGATCAGTGAGTGGATCTCGTGAACGGAAAATGTGGAGCCCTTGTTTTTTGGTGGATCCTTTTGTTCTGCTATTATGCAACCAGCCTATATATACTTAACTTGTTCTTATTATTTTTTCCTCAGAACTACTCTTCAATCATCTCCCTCCATCCAGAGATCATTGATGGAAGACCGGGGACTCTGGTGATTGAGTCATTTGTAGTTGACATTCCTGAAGGGAACACCAAGGATGAGACCTGCTACTTTGTCGAAGCCTTGATCCAGTGCAATCTCAAATCACTTTCAGACGTCTCAGAGCGACTTGCGGTACAGGACCGAACTGAGCCAATTGATCGGCTCTGAAAATTGGAACCGATAACACGTGTTGGAGGCGAGAGAGACTGCCAGGGATGAAGCTTCCGAGGCTTTCGTAACTTGGAGGTTTGGGAGACGGACAGGCAGTTGTACACTTCGATTTCACACACACGAAACGCCCTCGTATTTTTGCTTGCGTCGGTACAAAATTAAATTGTTAAACTTCCTGTGTGTAGGATCGTAAGAACCACAGCTGATAAAGGTTTCTGTAACCCTTTCGCAAATGAAAAGTACAGGAAGAAAAAAGGGACGGGGTTCTGTTTTGGTGATATGATTTTGGTCGTGTACATATATGCCGAGAGACGGCGTCTGTACACTGCTTTTGGATGCTTTCAGCTTCTGCTTCTTGCTTTTCTTAACCTCTTGCTTCTCTTCTCTAATAATGTTACCAAAGGTGGAATCCATTGCGGAGGCGGCGGCGGCGGCTTGTCGGAATCGGAACAATTCCTCCTGAATATGCTTACGTTTACGTATGAAAAACCACAACCCAAAAAATTATGTTACGATCATATGAAACATGAAAAAAAACAAGACAAACTCGAAAAACCGAAAACGAATAATCAAGATAAATTGAAATCTGGTTACGGATCTTTTTCCAATTGAGAACAACTTCAACTGGGAAATGTAATTTCTACTAGACTTAACAGCGAGTTTCCTTAAAGAGTCACGTCATTGCACATGACCACGGTGGTAGGGCGGAGGCGGCGGACCGCTCTGCATCATCCCAGGGCCCATTTGAGGAGAAGATATAGGCATAGTTCCGGGTGGCATGTACGGTTGATTATGCATCTGAATGGGCATGGACTGAGGAACTGCCGGAACAGTTGGTCCCCACCCTGCAGAAGGCTGAGGCATCACGGCCTGATCAGTTGGAGCATATTGAGCCCCGTTGTATGGAGGCACCGCGGGACTCATCTGATGAACCGGCTGTTGTCCTAGAATTGATGGTTGTGCGGTCACAATTGGAATGGTAGGGATCGTATAGTCTCTGCTCCGGTCATTGTTCACCTGTAATCAGCATGGTAGGGGCAGAACATTAGGCGCAGCTTGTCTGCCGATCTCATGGGGAAGTTGAAAAACAAAAATGAACTCCAAAGAGAAGGGCAAATGACTAGTCCAGGAGAGAACTTCAGGGAGTACGGATATTTAGGTTACCTTTATGCTAAGATCGGTATGGCGTGAATATGAGATGTGGAGCTTGCAAAACCCTCCATCGTAAATGCAATGCCCTTCTAAGGCTTCCTTGGCAACAACAGCTGTCTGAACATCTGAAAGCCGTAACATAATTAGCACCGTGTAAAATCAGCAGTTACTTCAACAGGAATTGTAAAAAGCAGCACCCGTGTACACCGGTAATAACAAAATAACATTCAACGAGCAAGGCTAAGGTGGTTCAATCAAAGTCAGTAAGCCCTAGGTTCAAGAATCAAAATCTGTGAGGGTTAGGTTCAACCATAGACATGTCAGCTGGCTGGTTCCCAATTAATCAGGTCAGACCAAACCCTTCCAGTTTTGAAAACCATGAAAGAGAGGAAGTAGAAAGGTACCTGGATACTGAATCAAAGCCTGAACCCCTCCGTTCTTATCAAACATGGCGATCTTTTGAATAGGCCCGAAAGCAGAAAAGACCTAGTGGCAGGAAAAGGAAAAGATCAGTTTCTGACTGAATCCACATGGTTAAAAAAATACAATCATATTTATAAATTAATCAGACATACCATGTGTAAAACGTCCAAGGTGACAGCATACTGCATGTTTTCGATGGATGCAAGAAGGACGTTACTCTCCGATTCTAGCTTTTTCCCATCCAATCCCACAATTAGCTGTATTGATTAAACAGTGAACTCTATTAATAGAGGTACGATATAACATGCCCCAAGATACAAGTTTACATCACAATTTTGAACTAGTCTCAAGTATTTCCTAGAAAGAGCAACAGCAGTCGAATTTAATTCTTCCTTTCCCCAATTTATAGATATGTACCTAAAATGCCTCGTAAATATATAAAACATTTTTATGTGACATGCATGCCAAGGTTGCGGAATGGATACTCTATGAACAAGGGCCTTCGTACAGAAATGTATGCCTGCTTCATGATATAATCTAATAAGAGATTTTTCCCCCATCAATGCATTACCTGACCACTTCCATCTATGGCTGATGGAGCAACTGGAAGGTTAGGATTAGTGTAGTCCCTGAATCAGGAAAACGGTTAAAGTGAGAACAGTGGTCACCAACATAGAGATAAAGATGGTCCAAATAATAGAAAACATTTATTATTTCATAAATAATTACAAGAAAAGGAAACATCATAAAGACAACAATGTAGGAGGGTGCAACATAAAATTAGGAATTATTTCCAAGGAACAGGAAAAACAAAAAACAAACGTGAATACCTGCTTCGGTGACTTTGAAATTTCACACTCAAATCAGTGTGTCCAGAATATGTTATCCTGAGAGTACATGGTCCCACATACTCGGGGAGCAGATACCTGTACCAAATGAAAGACGGACAACACAAATTAGAAAGAATACAGGCAGAAATGAGCCATCATCACCGAATATCATCTAAAAGCAACATTTATGACAACTAACTAATAGAGATTATAGCACTAGAACACGCCCAAAAGTTCAAAAATCTGTTTTCCTACATAACAGTTGTGCCCTACAGGGTGTCTAATAGCCAACAGGTGACTAGATCATATACGTGTGAACCAATTTAGAATCTCATACTTGATACCACGTAAAACAACTAACACAACTGTCACCTAGGGATGATTCTTGAATCCAGTGCAGTTTTGGCAGAAGTGGCAGTTTCTGCATCTGAAAATTGCACCAGTGCCTGAAAAGAAGAATACAAAATGAGATAGATAGAGAGGGAAATGGGAAGCCGGTTAGAAATTTAAAAGAAAATTAACTCGTATAGACCTGGAATCCTGCAGTCTTCTCAAATGTAGTTATCTTGTGCACAAACCCAAAAGCTGAAAATACCTGCATCACTAGAATAATATTCAGAATAATATACATAGGGAAATACACTTTAAAACAAACTTTCAGAGATAAGCCCTTGAAAAATTATTGTCAATTAGTAAATAACACACATTTTATTTTCCAGGTACTGTAAAACATCTAAGAAACAGATTATACTATCTTCAAAAAACAGCTTCACATATGAACCATAAAAAATGAAAGCAACAAATTAACAAAAAAGATGCAGGAAACTAAAGGATTATCTATTAACTAAATCTTTTAATATGAATTCAACTAACACCAGGGAGACCTTCTTGCTAGTGGTGCACCACAATTGTATCAAGTTTAATGTGATGTATTCCCACTCAATAAAATTATAGAAAAAAAAAACAAAGTGATGAAAAATATTCCTAAAATATTCAACGACCACTTCCTATTGGGGTGAAAAAGATAAGATGATTAGAAACTTATTCTTAATGTGGTAAGCAAAATTTTTTTTTCCCAACTTTAAAAAGCTTACAATTATTATTCTTTTCTTTATGAGCAAAACTTCTTTTAAAGCCTATTAAAAAACAAAAGCGACATTGATTTTATTTTTAGGGAGTATTCTTAATCTTTCAACTAACATATTTGAAAATCATTATCCTATCTACAAATTATAACAGAACTTTACAACTTAGGAATGGTCTACAGAACTATGGGGCCACGGAATTCCAGTTTAGTTAAGGAGAATAAGAGCAATGTCATTAACCTTTTAATTGACATCGTTAAAGCATATAGCCAGTTTTTGTATAACATGCTCCTAAATTTACACTTGGGGTGCAATTAAACACTTGAGACATACTATAACATAAAAGTGTGAGACAATCATGCTGACGAAACAAAGCAAAAGAAACAAATTCTACAAAACGAGCATGTATAAATAAAAAAAGGGGATATGCACGGTGCACAAGAGAAGAAATGAAAGCATTCCACGCTATTAGAGTGGTAGGATTAGGATCATGAGGAGGAAGAGTAGGGAAGAAAGAGGCAGTGTTAAGAGAAGGAGAAAGGAGACAAACACTCATGTGCTCTTTCTCCCGATGCACTAAGCTGCCATTGAAGATTTTCTCTTGAAATGGGCCTGCTGATCCATTCACATTCATGTCAAACAAAAGCACCCCAGAACAAGAGGATTTACAACCCAAACACAATACCTTAATGCTAACATATTTGTACTGAAATGTTTACCTGTTTAACTATAACATGGAAGCAGGCAAAATTGCTTACCAGGTGGAAAATATCTATGCTGACAAGGCGTGCATCCGCACCTTCTATTGTTACCAACAGTACATTTCCTGCAACATCTGCGGCTGTTTTGTTGTTCACTATCTCTTGCCTATTGGAGTACTGTAGGTAAACAGTTTTCCCCCTTACTTGAGCGGGTTCTGAAGATGACGCATAATATGATATCATCGCAATAGCTTGATTTAAATCTGCCTAAAAAGTTCATGAAATATTAAAGGAAAATGTTAATCAGTAAAACTTATATTAAAAGCAGAATGATCTACAACCAAAAACTGAAATTACACTCACAAATTCAATAAATGCCTGATTACGGTTTGCTCCAACATTGCACTTTGTGTTGACAACTTTACCAAATGGCTTTCCCAGTTCTATCAGTTCCTCCTCCGTACACTCCCACGGCAAGTTCCTTAAATGAAGGACCTTAGATGGTGGCTGAGTGTACCGGAACTGTGGCTGACTGGACACAGAAGCCATTCTGTATACCAACCCGTCACCTACAAAACAACACCAGATAAATACTCAGTTCTTCTGATCACCACACGCAGATGCATTTCACAATTAGATTCTCCGTCACTAGAAAATGAACTCATTACTCTTCAACTTAACTACACACAATGAAAAACGACACTTCATTCCCATAATAACAACCTAATGTTTTGAAAATTAGACATCCATTAGCTCACCAACATTAAGTGATTACATCACAAGCATTAAGTGATGACGCGGAAAAGTGAAGCGCGTTTTTGCTCTCATGTCATCACTGGAGCTCTGGATTCCCCAAATCGACTCCTTTTAGTCAAGTTAAACCCTTAGTTTGATTGGGTAAAGGGGCTGATTTGGATATCCAGAGCTACATAAATGACATGGGAGTGAAAACCCAGTTCAATATTTGTCCACGTCACCACTTATCGCGGGTGACCTAACAGATGTCCAATTTTCAAAACATCAGACAGCTATTTGGAATGCTTTAAAAGATAGTTATCCGTACGTAAGCCGTACATATACATAGGGGGAGTAACTATGAATGTACATATTTGATTGTGAACATTTGTAAATGCATATGCAAATCAAATTAACGAAATTTTCAGGACAAGAAAAACATCAATGTCCTCAAAATTCTACCTTGTTTACAATAATAATTCAAAGTGACGAGAAAAACATCAAATTATTCAAACCATTAAACATGAAAAGAAATGCAAATAATAATTCCAATATCCTAATTAAGCTAGCAATAGCAAACACATGCGAGTAGCGAGGGAAAAATAAAAAAACGCAATAGCAAAATTTGAGACGAATGAAACAAAACTAACAGATGGAAATTGCGAACTGAAAATTAAAAGTGGTGAAAAATCGAAAGGATTAAAGGAGGGAAATTGGGTACCCGAAGAACGAAACAGGAACCAGAACCTCGATAGATTGTCAGCAAAATTAGGGTTCTTCCACCTGCTTAAATTAGCACAGCAATGTTTATGTTTTCAGGGGAAGAAGGAAAAGATAGATATATGCAGAAATTGAAATGTCGATATATATAACCTCGAAAATTGAGCGTCGAAAAAAAGAAAATGGGCTTCGAGCCCATTTCAATAAACGAAAATAATATTTTCGAACCCATTTGGTAATGTTTTTTCATTTGTTTTTCATTTCTGGAAAGTATCTGTACTATTTAAACTACGTCGAAATTTTGAATAAAATCAAATTTATTTCTTAAAAAACACAAGCGCTTCTTTCAGAAAATATTCCTTAAAAAACACTAATGCTACTTTCAAAAAGTATTTTCAGGTACGAAACGTTTTTGCAAATATATGGTATTTTCTTAATTGCTTGCTATAATGTAGCGCGCACACATTATCTGTGTGTGTGTGTGAATAAAAGAAATTAAAAAGATGTCGTAGAGTATTTTAGAAAATTATGAATCATATTATTAGTTTATGACCTACATTGAACCACTTCGATTGTGATGCAAGGTTATTCACCACCCATACCTAATCCTTCATATCCCGTTTCTTTTCATGACAAGTAAACATGAATAGATTTGATTCATTCGTATCGAAAATTCTATAGTGCTTTAAGAATATCTTATACTCTGAGAATTTTAAGTATTAGATGTTGATCATTGCATCTTTGACTCAAAATCTAACGGTTAAAAATCACATAATACAAAACGACTTTTGAAGTCCACTTAAAAATTCTAGTTCTCGGAAGTCCTTTACCCGAGGGCTCCACATTTGAGTTCTACTCGCAGCTGTGGCTTCCGGACACCGTTTCTTTGTATGCAATATGCATGCAACTTATGCTTCTCAAAATCCCTTTTGTTCTTCCTTAAACGCGAAATATAATACAATATCACTCACTCAGAGTGTACAAATGGCGGCCCCTTAATAAGTTAGTGACTTTCTAATGGTCTTGATTCTGCTGTTGCAGCACACCATATTATATAGTTTTGATTTAATTAACCACGAGACCAATCAAGCTAATATATTCAACTTGTCTGACCAACAAGAACGTCCTTGTAAGGAGTAGGAACTGGTTCTGCAGCTGCGTTTGGATTAGGTTCTACATGATGTAAATGATGTTCATCATCGTGACGAACTGATGATCTTTGTGATGATCTCCTCCGGTGATTCGAGGATAAGCGGAACCTGGCCTTCCCTTTCGTGAACAAGCCTCTCCTGCGCGCCTCCCCGAAGTTTCTCGAGCCTCAGTCCATCGCCCATTTGTTGCATCTTGAACACCTTCACGACATTTGCTAGTCCTCCAATCAGGAAGAACAGGCTTCCTCCCATCCCCAGCCACACCCAATTCCTACCCTGCACACATTAACCAATACATTAATTATGTAAACAATTTATGATAATCACAATTATACGAACTTAATAAAGTTAAGGAGTAATGACTAATGACCAGTAGCTGTAGGCCATGAAGGAACAATCCATGTTGCTCACGGCTGTTGAGAATTGCACCAACTGTGAACAAGACACTCCCAATCAGAAAAGGGATGTGGATACTTTGTTGCAGTATTTGGACATGCCCGTCTGCCCTCTCGTAGATTTGGCATGAATTGTGGATCGATCCGAGCAGCCACAAAACAGGACCAGCAATGAGCATGTTCTTCGCATGCCTTTCAAGCTTAGAGTATCCATATCCTTTCTCCGCCTACAATTGCGACAATACGTAGCACTCACAAAGTCACAAACAAATGAATACATTGCAATGTACACAAGATATGTCCAACAATATCAAAGAGTCTGTCTAAATAATATGAACATGTACTCAATACGAACACTTGAAAATTCCACACTCATTAGATCATCTTGCCCCCATTCAGTGGTAGATGTTGGCCTATTGAGTGGTGTAGTCCACTCCAAGGTTCTATTGCACCATTTGAATGGTCATTTTTCGCTATCCTATGGGTCATCTGTAGGTGTTCGTATTAAGTACGAGTTTGAACATGGAAAATGGTATATGATCAATTTGATTAGTTGGGTTTATATAAGGGAGTAAAATTTTCATTCCATCAATTAATAATCAATTAACAAGCTTGTATATATGCTATCTCGATTGGTGAAACACATATGGGTCTTCTAAAAAATAGGTTCTCTAACAATGATTTATGTAAGTGCCATTTATTCAATTCAAATGTGTGATCAAATACCTGAATTAGGAGGAAAAGAATTCCCAAGAACGAAAGAACCGTTCCCAAAGCCTGAACCACCGGGACAGCAACTCGACGAGGGCGAGCTGCAAGTCGAACTCCATCAACGGCATCCGGTAATCGAACATGGCAAGATGTGCCACCAGATCATGCAAATTCACCACCAAAATTAACGCCAAGGCTATTAGCATCAGGACTAGGCCTGACTTGGGTTCTTTCGACAGCTGAGCCACGAACCCGCCAAGCAGCACCACGGTGGCAAACACGTAGAGCCCCGCGTTCATGTACTCGGCCCGGTTCCGGCTCAGCCGTGGGCCGTACATTCGGAATTCCCTTGCCGACGCCAGCTTCACCATTGTGTAACAATATCTACTGAGAAAAACGAATGATTGTCTGTGTTTATTGGGAACCAATAAAGTTATGCAGAGGACTTTCCAGTTTTGTTCTTCTTTCTGGTTTTCTGGTTTGAGAGTGGGAGAATGAGTCGAGAGAACAAGACCCTAACTCATCAGAATTGAAGTGGTACGTGGCTTCGTGCATGGAGGGCGCTTGTATTTGGGGGAAAGGGATCCTCTCCGGATCCTTTCCTCCTAATCCACCACGTCTGAAGATCTGGACCATTGAAATTTAATCGAACGGTTAAAATTATTATAACTTTTAAAGTAGACTCTTATTTGTAGCCGTTAGATCAAATTTCAACTTCAAATTTGATGGATTTGGAAGAATGATCCCTTTCCGTATTTGGGAGTTTAATAGTCGGTTGACGACACGTGGCAGCTCGGGACTGAGCTTGGATTAACACGAAGTGTCTCCTATGAATCATTGGAAGATTTGATAAAACTTCGAAAATGCAAAAGTTCTAACCTGTTGTTCGAATCATCTGTTTACAAGCTGAAATCAAATTTTCATTACTTCAGAAAAAAAATTAGGAATCTCCTATTCAGGCTTCGAAGCAAAATTGGAAAATGGTTATCCGTGAAGTTCTCTTTCATACGAGCCTTTAGATTGATATTGTGGTAGATAAATTTACGAGCATAAATTATTTTTATTACACTAAAACAAAATATTTCCCACGAACTATATAAATTCAAAACAAAAAAGAATAAAAAGAGGTTAAGGCGTGATATCTCTTTCGGTTGGCAGAAAGGTGTTTCTCCAGATTCCGAACGAGCGGCCTTGCGGACATTATATCAGAAGCCCTAAATTTGTTTGGAGGCAGTAGTCCCATATTTTGCAGTCCATTTGCACCTACTGCTGTGCCTCTTCTAATTCAAATGGGAATATTTTTTATCACCATTCTCTAATTCAAATGAAAGCCTCTCTGTGTTATGTAGTTTACAATCTTGCATTTGTCCCTCTTAACGTCTTACGGTCTTACCTTCCACCACCATATTGGTTCTAAATTTTTAAATGTTAGAAAATTTTTGGTCTGACTATATAACCATATATAATAATTCTTATATTGAATGATATCAAGTTTCAAGTTTTTGTAAAAAGCGGTTTTTAGATAACGTTGTCAGACACTTTTACTCAAGTTTTTCTCTCGAGACTTGCAACCAAACACTAATTGGGGGCTCTAGGAATTAAACTAGGCTCAAGTTTTTGTAATTACCATAATACCTAAATATGTTGCAGCCATTACCCTCAACCTCCGTGTTTTCTTTTCTTTTCCGCTTTTATCTCCCCTCCCACCTCCAAATCCACTGCTATCAGCTATGGTTGATGTCGCCCCGGCTCCAAATAAAAAAACTGAACTATCCCCGGTGCCGGTGAACGAAATTTTGGATTGTTACTCGTTGGCTAATGTTTGGATTTTGAATTTCAATGGAGAATTTTGGATTGTTACTCAAGTGTCATAATGTAAGTTTGTAACCATTCGGTACAATATTTCTTTGTGTTATAATTCCTTTCTCCAGTAGGACAGTGAATTATTGAAGAAGAGATGATTCAATCCATGCATGTGATCCAAACAACATAATGAAGAAGAACCCTTCAAATAAGGACCACGGTACGATGATGATATACAGGGCCAGTATAATAATGAGTAAATGCACGAGGTCCCATTTCGAATCTTTCTCCCCATAATTTAACATAGATTTCTTATCGTTTGTAAAAAAAAAAAAAAAAAAAAAAAAAAAAAAAAAAAAAAAAAAAAAAAAAAGAAGCTTTATCATGGATTACTATGACTCATTACAGGAAACAACTTTCATATCATGATTGCAGTGCAAGTAAAGTTGAGCGTTTAAATCAGAAACCGGTGAATCGGACCAAATAGAGCTCAACTAACCGAATCAAACCAAATGTTCTTGAATTAGTGCAGTTTGGTTCGGTGGATATGATTGATCTCATGCAAAATTGAATTGAACCAAACCAAACCGATTGTATAATTACTCCTTTATTTCAAGAAAAATAGGATTGAATCAAACCGTGTCTAACCCTACTTACAAGTCAGATCATGGGTGATGCAAGTAGAATGCACCCGTAACATTGAAATTCCTATCTGAAACAAGGGAACAAGAATTGTGACCCATGTTATATTAGTAAATGCTCCCTATCATTTCTCCCTCTCCTTTTTATTCTAAAACTAGTCAAATTATGCAGATCACCCGTGTATAGGGGATAAAAGTCATTCACCAAACATACAATTTTCGTTTGAAAGTAATTTAAAATTTCACGTGAAACTTAGACACGAGCAAATTTACTCATGAAATATTTTTAGATCAGATAAAATGACAATTTTTGTTACGCATATAAGCCTCACGTGTAACTTTTGGATGAAAATTTTAATTTTGACTGAGATTGGTAAGAGATACCATGTGATGAAAAAGGCCTTGAGATAAAGTACTATACTGTTGGATTCCATGCATGCTCACAAAGGCTAAGAGGCGACAAGCCTTTTGGGGATAAAGCAGTTATAGCTAGGCAACTTACTGACATATGAATATGATATGGAAAGGGATCCTTTTCCTTTCTCCAAATCCACCAAGTCTGGAGATCCGGACTATTTAAATTTGATTAAACGGTTAAAGTTATTATAATTTTTACAATAGATCCCTGTTTGTAGCAATTAAATCAAATTTCAATGGTCTGGATCACCGAATTTGGTGGATTAGGAGAAAGGGATCCCATATAATATATATCGATACAGCTTTTGCCGATTGCCATATCTTCTTTCCTTACTTTCTTCCTCCCTTCTGCGCTCTCTGTGTTGTCAACTATAAGTCTACAACCGCAAGGCCTACGAGTCAACAAACAAGCAAACTCTCACATAAACGCATTTTCTTGTTGTTTGCTGGGCATCTTAACCTAGCATTATATATATATATATATATATAACATATATATTCTATCATTCCTGATCTCATTCTCTAGCTCATTCCAAGTGCAAACCCTATTTATCTACCACATTTCTCCCATACCTTCATTCATTCTTTCCTTCTCCTCCAAAACATTTGCTTGCTTCTTATCGTATAAGAATTAACGCAGACGATGGACCGATGTCGTCGGAAGCGACCCCAAATCACCATTAGTGATCAATCTGAAGGTCTGTGTGTGTTTCAGTTTCACTATTTTTATGTTCCTTCCCAACAGACTTTTACTTAATAGTCAAGTCGGAGTTTTTAGTAAACTAAATTTTCTATATTTATTTGGGCAGAGGTTATTAGCAATGAATGGGAATTCATAAACATGACTGAACAAGAAGAAGATATCCTCTGTCGAATGTATAGGCTCGTTGGACCCAGGTATGCTGTTTTTTTTTTTTTTTTTTTTTGCCAAATCAAAACCCAAAAGTTTTTTTTTTCTTTCTAATTTTTTTTTTTTAAATCTTGCACATTAGGAGACACTCCAAAATCCAACTGGTGTCATTAGATAGCTAGGCTCATAGGAATACCAATGTAAATGTTTTAAATGTTTAGAAACTATGTTAAGATAAGATTTGGGTAATTCTATTAACACCCGCACAATCCTATTAATACACCCCATAATTTTATTTTATTTTCAGTTAAATTTTCGTTTTTACCCTAACGAATCAAGTTTTGAAGTCTAAAATAAACCCCCATCGACCCCTTATCCCGGCTGCCAACCACCACAGTGTCTTGGTAAAAAATCCCAGTCACTCGCCATGCTCTCTCTCTCTCTCTCCATATATATATATATATATATATAGATATCCAATCATCAGCCACTCGCCGGTAGGTAATAGGGAATTGGGAGATGGGGTGTGTGAATCAAGAACATTGGGCAATTCTTGGTTTGTTAGAGAGTCGGTCTTGGCTGTCAACTTCCACGACGTAGAGGAATTTTGGTTGTGCTGATATCAATGACGGATACCTCTTATATGGGTGGCCCGTGGTCGTCGAGCTAGCTTTTTGCTGTCATTTGTTTATGGGGATGGCTTGGCTTCAGAAAAATGAAGGACAAAGCTGGAATTTTAGAGACACATTTTAGATGTGGAGTGTTAATAAATACATGGTAATAGAATAATTAAAATACGAATGACTCTGTGTTTTTGAATATTTAATAAATGCATGGTAATAGTAAGTTTTCCCACCTCAACCATTTCATTTCGATTTTAACCCCGAGAAGGTCTTGGGTGCAACCCTCGTTGGTGGTGGGACCTTCCGTGTTGTGTGAGAGAGAGGGGGGACACAATGAGGCCGGATGAACATGAAAAAAATCAGAATGTGTAGAGTAAGGATGATTTTGTGCCTGAAAGCCGTATGGCCATCTGGTGTGGTCTCTGGACTAAAGAATTTCTCCTAACCCCCTCACAACAAAGCATGCATGCACGCACATGGTACTTTACTGTAAAAAGTGAAAGTAAGAAACCAAATGCACTTTGCATCCACCATTAAAACACACAGCAATTTGCTCCAGTTCCAAATAAACGCGTGAGAAAATAGTGCCTTCTAACGAGTGAGAAAATAAAGAATAGACACGTCTGGTACTCGCACTCTGAACTTGTAAGCTGTCTTTTCTACTGTCTGGTTTATAAAAGTTACTGCTCCTAAGGATTATTGTACTCTAAAACTCACAACTGCCTTCACGGCTGTACTCGGTTTCAGGTGGGATTTAATAGCCGGTCGGATTCCAGGTCGAAAAGCAGAAGAACTAGAGAGGTTTTGGATCATGAAGCATTGTGATACGTTTGCTGACAAACGAAATCAGCATAAGAAAGAGGACGCTAAAATTGTTCGTCGAATGTTTAATGGATTTAAGTAGTTTCCTCTTTGATTGTTTTTTTTCCTTTTTGGCTTTCTGTTCTTGTGCAGTGATTCAGTTCTTGCAGTTCATCTCTCTATAGATAACCTCTAACGAAATAAAAAGGTAAAAACTTGGCAAGGTAAATTTCAAGATTTCACACAGTAGCGAAGCAAAGCAAGCCCGATATCACCAGAGTGCATGTAGTACTTATGTGTAAATCAGGATCATAAGTGTATGTTTCAGTGTGCTAAACACATTTGGTACCCATATGGAACATTATTGTATGAACGGGGTGAAAAATATTACATTTCATGTATACACGGGGTACATGTATGGAAACTCGAAGTCTATATATCATCCGTAGAACTGGATAGTATGAGATCTCTATTTTACTGACCTTTATAAATTTCTTCTATGGTACAAACGTGAGTGGTATACAACATTGAGATGGCAATCAGTAGTAATCCGAAGGTGGAAGATCTTTCAAAGACGATATGCATATGTGTCGATCACTTTAGACTATGTATCTGCGAAGATAATCTACTCGAGCTGGATGTTTGAGCTTCATGAGAGCCTTGACTTCATGCTTTCGAACCATTTCTCGTGAAATATTTAAGTTTCCAGCAATCTCCCCCAATGTTCTATCCCCCTTACCATCAAGCCCGTATCTCTGTCTGATCACCAGGCTTTCTTTCGGCTTCAGGGAATCAAGCTGGGAGAGAATATTTAGAGAAAGGATTAGCTACTTGAAACTTTGAGAGCTCTCGAATTGAGAGGTACTAGACCAAATCAACTCAGCAAGTCAGTTAGCTTAATTGAAAAAAAATGAAGCTTAATAATCCTGTGTCTATCTAGCAATCAATTTCAAGTGGAGAAGGCAATGACATATTAATCTGAGGTTAACGGAGAGAATAAGTACCACATCATCAATAGCAAGCCTGAGAAGAGCAGGTTTCCGCCGGTTATCACCTTCAACACCATCGACGTCAGTAATACCGTTGATATACTCCTCTTGTGTGGTTGCATGCCTTGAATGAAGAGAGGAAACAGGTTTTGAGGCCCTCATTACTTCATGGTACCTCTCTGGAGAAATTCCAACTTTTTCGATTATCTCTTCGTCAGTTGGAATCCTTTTGAGCGAAAATATCATCTCAAGCTTGGCCTTTTGAATTTCCGCCCTAACCTGCATAAATATAACAGCGAAAACCGTAAGTTTTCATTACTTGCAACTTGGATTCTGTAACGCTGCCATTCGCTTAAGCGAGTAAAGTTCCTAGAAACATAACGCTGCCATTCATTTCCTCTTCTATCATAAAAACTGAAAGAGTCCAACATTATAGACGAAGTCTAAAACCCTTGTCTATGTGAACTAAGACCGCCATTTTGCATGCTTATGTACTTATCGTTGTCAAGAGTGTCATGTCAACGATTCTACTATTCTGAAAACATGCATCCCTGACCTAGCTTAGGTTCAAAAAATGCTTACCGACTCAAGGCCAAATGAAACACGAGTAAAGCTTGAGACTGTCATGGAACGTATGATGGCATGCCTGATCCAGAACAGACCATATGTGGAAAGCCGAAAACTTCTTTTTGGTTCAAAGCGATCAATTGCCGTAATAAGCCCCCTTACTCCTGCCTGGCAGAGGTCTTGAAATTTTGGACCATTTGCAAAGTCTTGAAAATATTTATTAATGACGAATAACACAAGTCGGAGATTGTGCTGCAAGAAACATCAGCATTACCAGTTAGTTTCTCTGTTTCACATTTAAAACCATGTTTAATTAATTTAATGCAAGACTTAAGGCAGAAAATGCTTGCCTTGATGAGCTTGTTTCGTGCAGCTCGACCAACTTCGAAATGTTTTTTCACTTGAACCACACTCATGTTTGTCGCCTCAGCCAATTCGCCGTTGGTTGGTTCTGTCCCCAAATCTTTTTGTAATTGCTCTCTCGCTTCATGGAGACCCTGGATCATGACAAACATAATTATTTCACAGCAAAATACATCCCACACAGCACAACACGGGAACAATTCCGAAAACACAAGACAGTTTTCAAGACTACAGCCAGAAAACGGAAATTTGAGAAGGCTCACCTTCATAGGTTGCATTAGCTTGAACAACCAAGCATGTTCTGAAGAAGTGAGAACCGGAGGAATCTTCATCTTTTTCCAGTCCAAACTGACCAGATCAGTTGAAGCCGAATACTCCCTAACCAGCTCCTCAATCTTCTCCATTTCGTTCTTTTGATCTTTCCTCTTTTGAACTGAAGAAACCACTTTCTCGTCCTTGTTCCATTTCAATGAAACCCTTTTATCAAGATTCAATCTTTTCGCCTTCTTTGTCTTGCTTCTAACCACAATATCACTTGTTCTCTTCTCTTCTTTCTCATGATTGCTTTCGCTAGTCTTCTTCCTCCTTTTGCGACCCCTCCTCATCAAGCCATCTGCATCTTCCACATCCACATCAGCTTCAATCTCGGGGCTACGCTTGTACAAGTTTTCCAGCTTGGCAGCGGCTTCATTGTAATCCACTTCCAAAGTAGTACACGGAGCAGCTACATCAGTAGCAGTAGATTTCACACTTTTTGCGAGTTTTCTAGCTTTCCCTATTCTCTTTTGGTGCTTCTTTCGTGTTTCTATAGGCAAAGGTATTTTCCCCTGGGGTGCAACCAATGCCGTCTTATTGGATTCATCTGTTTTAAATGCAACTATCAACGGCTTTCTGAATGTAGATCTCTGGCTTGTTGATTTTGCGCTCAATCCTAACGGAGTCCTTGCCGCTGAGGTCGAAACTGTCACAACTCCCATGCCAAGTTGCCTCAGGAATAGTCCAAGCGATGAGTGAGAAAGCTTTATTTGTGCACAAACTCTGCAACCATACATAAAGAAATGCAGCCATAGTTTTAAGCTCTTCCCCTGTCTAGTACAAACAACACAACAACAACAACAACAAAGCCTTTTCCCACTAAGTGGGGTATGTATAATTATTTCAAACTGTACAAATATGCAAAATTATCTCAAATGCTCCATATCCTTTATACAAGCGATATTCTACTTCAAGTTAACCTATAGTACCGGGAGGAAAATTCGAACTCATGTGCATAGAAGGGGCTCATTTGTGCTCTATCCAATGTGACTACACACACGTCTACCATTTTTTATCTCTCTAAATTCTGAAGCTTATAAGTTATGATCAAAATAAAACTACACATGAACTAAAGCAGTCTGATTTGCCTCCACCAATCCCAAATCTCTAACCCTATTGATTCTGTATGATTAAAATTTAACGCCCTCCAAAATTTATAAAAAGGCGACTCTGAGCCAACAAGACTTCATCCTGCTTTGCATGGATTAAGAGCATATTTATTATATGCATCCTTATCCTTACTTTGCAAAGAGGATGTTTCTATGACAGAAAAAATTAACATTTTTGTTGCGCCGAGACTCACCTCTAAAATTTATAGAAAATTAGAAATTAGGAACTAAGAAGCATGTAAATTATCAGCAGAGCAATAAAATAATTCTTCCTCAATGGAAAAAAAAAAAGGGAAATTAGACAACTAAAACTTCAGAGCATTACTGATCGTGTAGCACAATTCTTTACAGATAACTTTCTCGGGAAACAAACACAACCCAACTGCTATGGAGAGATGAGTTGCAGAGAATCGTACCTCTTTTGCAGAAACAATGCTCGACTGATCCGATGACAAGAACTTCGGAGACTCTCGGGAGTAAGAGTTTAAGAAAGTTCGAGACTTTTTTTCCAGAATTTTTTTCCAGAATTTTTTTCCGGTCACGTAAAAGTTCGAAGCTTTAATAGTAATAACGTATATGCGGGGAAAACGGTGTCCACAAATTATTATTCCACAGAATCGACAGTCGGGAATTGGTTGGTTTTCGAACATCGACGGCAGACAAGTACACACGTAGGCCGTAGAATCCAGTGTTGTATTTAACTACGGTGACGTGGTTGTTTTGGAGCGGGGGATGGTGTTTGTGAAGCTCCGGCGTGGCTGGTTATGATTGGCCGACAGGATATTTGTGGATGACGTTGGTGACACACGGGCTTTGTAGTTTGTGGGACCTACATAACCCTGGGTGGTTTTTGTTATGTCTACGTTGCTTAATAACAGCCAGTTTTGGTACACATTTTCTTTATTTTTTTAATTACACTTTCTGATTTTCATAGGGAAAAGAGTGAAATCAATTTGCTGCTTGTTTCCATAAAGAATGTGAACGTGCTAATTTTTATGGAACTTTATCACTTATCAGATTATTTTGGTATATATATATATATATTTTTTTTTTACTAGTGCGTAATATAGTTTGGTTGACGATAATTAGTTTACTAATTGTTCGATGAAATGCTTCAGTTAACAAACTGAAAATTTTTTTGTGCGCTTCGTTCTGTTTCTATCTAAAAAAATTTGTACTTTAACACAGGGACTTCTAAAGTTCGAAACTTTTATGCGCATCGCGTTCTATTTCTATCTAATTAACTTGTATTTTAACACTAAAAATCTCAAAGTTCGAATCTTATATCCACCTCTTATGGCTTAGCTGTGCGACTTATTTTTCCTTGAAGTTAATTTAGTTCTTGATGAAGTGACATTGATTGAATATCCCAAGATGAATAAACCATAGCCTTACCCTCGACTACTTTCTAAACTCTACTTACAAAACGTTGAAGAAAGTATGAGCTTAGAGCAACTCCACTAGGACAATTAGCCTGATGGACCAGCGACTTCACCAACCCAATAGCCAGAACTGCAAGCTCCAGCCCATAGGGCAATTGGGCAGGCCTCCGGGGGGGGGGAGTGAAAGGCCCAACTGAAATCGATGACCAGAGAGTTCGAGGGCCAAGTGATATCAGCCACGTTATAAAATTAATATAAAATAAAAAATATTAATAAAAAATGTAAAAAATTAATAAAAATCCAAAAAAAAAAAACTAATAAAAAAATAAATAAAATCAATTCGGGCGTTTCATTCCCTAGCTTCGTTTCCACTGCCACCCCGCCACACTCGATCCCCGACCTTCGACCACTCCACTTCCCGCGCGCCTTCTTCTTTCTCTCCGACTTCTCTATCACTGAAAAACCCACACGCCGGGGAACCCCCACACGCCGCCACCTCAGCTCTACTGTAACAACGGCACTATGTCTCACAGTGCACCGATGGTGCATGCAAGACCATAGTCGCATTCCACATGCTCCATAGATTCAAGATATAAGGTTTTGAGGTTAAATTACTCAAGGAAATGGTGGTGATGGTGGCTAGTTTGCCACTGTGCTAGAGAGAAAGAGAGAGAGTTTGCGGAAGTGAGGGAACTCCCTGGAACCAATGCATGTTAGGTGGCTTATTCACAAGTATAGCCATCTTGCATGTATGACAGGCGGAATATATATATATATATATATATATATATATATATATGTTTTCTTTCCAACGAGTTCACCCAAGGAAAATGATAGGTGATATGTAACATCCTACATCGTCCGGGAAGTGATCCGTCCCAGGTCGGGATGTGACATTATATAAGCTCAATCTTTAGGGTACAAAGTCAATCTCAACTCCTATATTGTTTCCCTTTATTGAATTTCATAACCATTCATTGATCTGTCTTTCAAATTCTTCTATAAAAATAAAAATAAAAAAATTGCATAACTAAAGGACACGTGGTACAACAAGACCGATTAAAAATTTCATCCGAAATTACAAATAAAATTATTTTTTTATTATTTTATAAAATAAAAAATACTAATATTTTATTACCTATTGCCATGGCTATTTAGTTAGGGGTGAAGATGTAAAAGGCAGTTACGGTTCATTAAGACCAGTTACTATTCACTGAAGGCTATTCAATAGTGAGTTGCCCTAAAAGGCCTTTACAACGCTGAAGTTGCTCTTACACTGGCAGGAGTAATCCAAATCAAAGAAGGAAATGGTGCTTTCATATATGTTGGGGACATGGAAAGAGTTTAGTTATAGAGGTGAGTGAAGATTAAGATGCCCAAAAAGGAAGAGGGGAGTGAATAGGGCTAATCATCTACACAAAGGGTAAATCGTCAAAATGGTCCCTGAGATTTGCATAACTCATCACTTTGGTCCCTGAGATTCCAAATCGATAAAAGTGGTCCCTGAGATTGTCCACCATCCATCATTTTGGTCATTCCGTTTCGTGTCCCGGAACTCTTGGCCGGAAGTTTGGGCAATTTTCAAAACTTCGTAACTCAATTGTTTCTTAACCAAATTCGACCCATAATATATCAAAATGAAGATAGAAAATTGTAGAATAAGATTATACCTATTTCGAAGTCCAATGGTTTCCGGATATTGCCGAAAAATAGCCTCAAAGTTGACTGGTCCAAGTGAAAACTTGAAAACTCGCCGGAAATTAGGAAAACTTTAAACGTTCATAACTTCTTCAATACTCAACGAAATCAAGTGATTCAAAAATAAAAATCATACTTCTCGACGAGACAAAGAGAATGATACCTTTTTTATGGCTAAATCGCCGTGGTTTGGCCGAAAAACTGCTTGAAAGTGGCTATCTTGGTCTCGAGTTAGCCACTTTTGAGTCGTTTTCCAGCCAAACCACGGCGAGTTAGCCATCTAAAAAGGTATTACTCTCTTCGTCTCGTCGAGAAGTATGATTTTCATTTTTGAATCACTTGATTTCGTTGAGTATTGAAGAAGTTATGAACGTTTAACGTTTACCCAGTTTCCGGCAAGTTTTCAAGTTTTCACTCGGACCAGTCAACTTTGAGGCTATTTTCCGGAAATATTCGGCAACCATTGGGCTTTGAAATAAGTATAATCTTATTCTACACTTCCCATCTTCATTTTGATATATTATGGGTCGAATTTGGTTAAGAAACGATTGAGTTACGAAACTTTGAAAATTGCCCAAACTTCCGGCCAAGAGCTCCGGGACACTTAACAGAGTTTTTAACAGAATGACCAAAATGATGGATGGTGGACAATCTCAGTGACCACTTTTATCGATTTGGAATCTTAGGGACCAAAGTGATGAGTTATGCAAATCTCAATGACCATTTTGACGATTTACCCTCTACACAAACCCACATATATATTGAACTAAAACTCTTCATTACCTTAGCGTTAAAAATACACTTGCACTTTGTTAATCTCTTATATTAAGTAATTTATTGTAATTATCTTGTTGTAAGTTGTAGGAGGATGCTATAGGTGAGCTGAAATGCCTTTAAACTATCCGAGCCCTATTGGGGATTAGTCATATCCTTCATGGTGTAAGATACAATAGGCTTCGGAAAAAAATATCAAGTAATTTATTGTAACCATAATAAATTAGAACTTTGACAAATTAATCCATATGCATAACGAGATGTAATACCTGGGTTATTTGTTAGTTACTCTAGTGTAAATCATTCAAGAAAGTAAAACAATGATGGACCGAAAAAGAGGTGCAGATTTTCATATTTAAGTTTAACCAATCACCAATCTTCAAGAGGCAAACTTTTAACACTTGGAAGGGGAGAGCAGAAGTGCTTTATCAAATGCCAGGCCAAGAAAAATCCACCTCTGTCTATCTTTATGATATTTTTAGGGTTTGCGTCACTTCACTTTCGACTCCTTCCTTTGAATTGAGCTGTATGAGCTGTTCAGTTTCATCTTATTTACTTGTGTTTCTTTTACAGCATCATCGTAAATATATGTCATATTATTGTACTCATTTATATGGTGCAGATTGCCCTGCAGGCTTGTTACTCATTCAAATCTGGGAATTAGTTATGCGACATATAATAAAATGGATCAAGTTGTATCCTGTGGAATCGTCGTAGTACTTAGACCATATATATACATATATGTATAATATTTTTGCAAGATCCTGTGATGGCTCATTAGTATTGGTCGATATTATATGGCTAGTCTGCTATTTTTACATCTTCGGATTAAAATTTGGCTCTCGTTTACTAAAAATTATGTAATATTGCCATGATTACAGACGAACTTCTTATTATACTAAGCATAAATCCCCCTTGGACACAAATTTTGTAGAAAGGTATTGGAAAAGTCACATTGCGGTTCTACTATTTCCACACTGCTAAACCCTTTGGATTTTGGTCAACAACTTGGCCAAATGAAGTGAACATAATAACCATCACCATTCATGTACATATTGCGGCTACATGTACCAACCAGAAACACCAATATATTTGACCATAAAAAATAAAAAAAAACACCAATATATAATGTATACCCTGCAATTTCTCTCCATTTTCGCGGCATCACATTCTATTTGCTTCACTTTTCGAGTATTTTATGCCAATCATTGAACCTTTGGATTTGGTCCAATTTTTGTTTTGAATGAATAGTGTGCCTATTGAAGAATGACCCAGCAACTCATAGGCAGTGACTTTATTAAAGGAATCTTCCGGAGCTGTAGCGAAAACAAATCATTAGAGAGCAATTGCAACTGCTTATGGACCCAAACCTAGGTGATCTATCCATGATCAGCATAAAGCTTGAGTGAAACTAAGTGGAGGTCCCAACCGACTAATGTTGAAGAATCATCGGATGAGTTGTGGTTAAGGGTGAATTGCCACTCGACCTAGAGTTAGCTGGTTCTCCTTGAAATGCGTTGAGGCGCAATAGTTGATTAGAAATCTAGGGGTAAAGCACTATTTTGGTTTGGGCCGTGAGAGCGAAACTAAATCCAAGCAAACTCTGAATACTAGATATGATCTCAAAATAGCAGGGGTCATTTATAAGCAAATATACATAGAAATGGAGTTTCAATTCGAGAGATTTTTCAGTGTATCGGAAATACAGTTCAGTACA